AAATCTTGTATAAATCTTTAAAATAGGTATTTCTCAAAGAGATCGAAATACATATTTTAAAGGGGCAATTTGTTGGCTGAAGATTTTGATAATGTTATTTAGGAGCCAAAAGAGATAAACGTTCTGATCGAAATGGAATTAAACGCCATATTTCGAAGTAACAGAAGCAGTGTTTCGAATAAGTGTGTCAAAGCTTGAAGCTTCGAACGGTAATTATGGGAACATATCCAAAGGAGTTTCGAAACAACAGCGAGGCTATGTTTGGGAAGAACGCTCGAAATAGAGAGACACCAAAAGCATTTAAAATTCAAATGGAAGCGGGACTTTCAAAGTTTGAAAGTTATGTGTTGGAGCATTTGGGGACACGTGGAAAGATGAAAGGAGCATTGTCTTGCATGTTCGAAACGTGGCATAATCCTGTAGCGAGACCGTTAGGGTCGAATTAGTATAAATAGAAGTCTTAGTATTAGGATTTCGGTGTGTCATATCTGTTATACAAAATACTCAATAACATTCAAACTACCACATGGCAAGGGAAACGAATGCAAGAGAAATGTATGTATGATAGCACCATGTATTTCTAACTTAATGAAAACCTTTTACCATTTCCAGTACTTTCCTCTTTTCTTTTTTGTCAAATAACATTTGCAAGCTTTCCTATTTGCAATCTTTTCACTTCGAAGTCTTTTCCTCAAAGTTTTACGTTTTACTGTTTCCTTTATATTTCAAGCACTTTATATTTCAGAGAACTGTCACATTTTCAATACCTTTACTTTCAAGTATTGTCCTTCGAGCGCATACTTTTACTTAAAATCATTTACAGTTTTCTTGCATTAAACGCTTTCTTCACATTTTTAAACTTCTACATTCCAGAAACCTTTTATGTTAAACGTTTTGTGAATCGAAACCATTTACTTCATTTTTCATGCAGTTTTGTATGTCTCTACAATCAGCATTACAATTAGCATTTATTCGTATAACTTAGTTTTCACATACATTTTGACTACATTTTTAGACTCTTAGAGAGAGGGATCGAAATAAGCCAAACACTTATACAATATCAACCATGAATAATTGTTCGATTGTGAGAGTAACCTTAATATCCAAGGAGTCCTAGGATCAATCTAGTCGATCATGTGAGTTACCAGAGAGATTGAATAATAGTAAGAAAGATTATTCGATAGTTTGGAAGACTAGCGGTTGTTTACCAGAAATCACTGGAAACAGAGATGTCTTGAGTTGGTCAAACCCTAATGCAGTCTTAAGTCAAAGAGATCTTGTGAGAAAATTCTTGATAAGTGAGAGGGAAAATTTTAGGGTACAATAAACCCTATTCCAGAAAAGGAAATCCTAAAATGACTATATTATTTAATCGATTATTAAGTCTTATAATCGATTAGAAGGCGTTCCCATTGCATTAATTTATTTGATCAAGTCCTCAATCAATTTATGTAGTGAGTTAGCTTATATACTTTATTAGACAAACTATGTAATCAATTACATATATGCGTCGATAGGTTTTAAGAAGTTTAAGTAAAATCAGAGAGGTTTTAAAAAAATCTTTTGAGTGTGTATGATACCTTAGTACTTCGAGAATTACTCCAATGCCTTTTACATTAAACTGACTGTTCACACACGCCTTAAGCGCGGGACTAAATGAGTGTTCACACTTAGTCTCTTCCATAACTTCAAATCCATTGCCTGATTCAACATTGACTTAGACCTTCATCGGGAACTTGATTATATTGACTAATGAGGAAGAGCTTTGGTAGCTTCAGTGGCCGCATCGGGATTTTGCCGTTGGGCGGTAGATCAGCTGGTTTTGGGTCACCATGTTCGATGAATATGATAATAGATCTATATTAGGAGGAGATTGAATCTTCAAAAAAGGAGATTGATGATTTGGATCTTTGGTGGAGAAACAATTGCTTTTTTAAATTAAAATTAGCGAGAATCAAAAGTCAATTTCCTAAACAATGTTAATGTTCGGTTAGGAATTAGAAATAGAAGATGAGGTGATTGAGTTGTTTCTTAGTGTCGTGGAGTAATGCTTCAATGCGACGGAGCAGGTAGACATACAAACTTAGCGTTCAAACACCTAAGTTAGTGAGAGAATGAGAAATAGTGTGTGAGTGAGTGAGAATGAATTCAAATACCTAAAATGTGTGTTTTCTCCCTATATATCAGGAGCTCTTAAAAAAACGTGTTTTTCCTTTATATATTAAGAATGATTGAAATCATTTGCATTTGAGTGTTATGTCGAGAACTGTCTAATTGAATTAGATAACGATTATTGTATTGGAGGGCAAAATTATTTATTTCTGATCAGAGTGAATGTCTACCTTTTCTGCCATTTTTTCACCGATATTTCGCTCTTATGAATTTTTACAATGAATAATTTATATTTTAATGTTTTGATTCGATACGTAAAAAAAAAAGATATTGCAAATACTATGATGTCCAAATCTATTACAATAAAAAAATATATGTGATTTATTTGAGTTAGAATATTGTGTAGCTAAATTTATGTTTTGTTTATATTTTTATAAAAAAAGTTATTTAAAAAATGGTCAGAAGTAAAGCTAAAACTAAAAGAGTAATTAATTTGCTTACAAAGTAACTAATTAGAAATATGTAACCACGTGAGCAGCAAGTAAGTAGATGGTAGGTCCTTCTAGAAACGTTACAACGGAATATATCAGCTCTCGAACCTACTAGTCTTGAAATATAACCGCCTCTTGCATCTTGCTAACACAATCTGCAGTATCCATTCTCTACTCTTTCTTTAACAAACAAATCTTCTCTTGCAATCCAAATGGCTTCCTCTCTTGCAGTCAAGCGATTTCTCTCCTCCGCTGCTCTTTCAAGATCTCTTCTTCGCCCCGTCGCCTCTTTCAACACCAACGCCATGCGCCAGTACGATCAACACTCCGATGACCGTAACGTTGATGTCGATCGTCGCTCTTCCCCGCGCACTCGCCGCGATGATCTGCTTCTCTCAGGTAGTTGTTGTCGCTCTCCCTCTTCTGTTATGTTGATTTCATTCACTAGTATATAACCTAACTAACTTTCTTTGTTTATATTGATTGATTTTAGATGTGTTCGATCCGTTTTCTCCAACTCGGAGCTTAAGTCAAGTCCTAAACATGGTGGATTTACTGACGGACAATCCGGTCCTTTCTGCTGCTTCGCGACGCGGATGGGATGCGAGAGAGACAGAGGATGCTCTGCTTCTCCGTTTGGATATGCCTGGACTCGGTAAAGAAGACGTCAAGATCTCCGTGGAACGCAACACTCTTATCATTAAAGGTGAAGAAGGTGGTGAAGATAGTGAGGAGAGTGGTCGTCGATTCTCTAGCAGAATTGATTTACCGGATAAGCTTTACAAGAATGATGAGATTAAAGCTGAAATGAAGAACGGTGTGCTCAAGGTTATTCTGCCTAAAATGAAGGAGGAAGAAAGGAACAATGTCATTAACGTCAAGGTTAACTAGAATAATATCACATTTTACTCGTTTTTCTTTTTCTACAAGCTCATGGTTCTAGAATTGAACACTTTAACTTTTTCGTGTAAGGATTGTCAACTACTTACTGTTAATTACATCTTGTTTTCTTTTTGAAACTGCGCGATGAAATCTAATATGCTCCTTTTTACACTATCTTTTCTCTTTAAAAAAGACTTATGTAAATTGACTCGATAACGAGGAACACAGTTATTCTTGGATAAATTACTTTACTATCTTAGAATCTGGAAATAGTGCAGTTCTTTATTAAATAAATATGATAACAGTTTTTATTACAATAAGAGGGTTCAGGAATAATGCTATATGATCATGAGCATGGGTGAAAGGATTGAAAAAAGTGTGATGCATGAATTGTGGTTGTCCGGATTCCATTCTCCGGACTTTGGAGTGCGTTGGGATATGTCTGATGCGTTCAAATAATAATATTCACGGAAGAACTTAGTCAGAGATATTGTGTGGTGGGTTCATATTTCAATCATCGGGGAAGAGCATTTTTAAAAACTCATAGTGAGTACAATGAACCATCCGCTAACATATCAAGAATCAATACCAATTATATTTGCTATGTATTTGATTAACTCTCTTTTTCATTTTTGTTTTTGGTACAACAATAACTCTCATTTTAACGATGATGCTTATGATATTGAAAAAAGATTTTCTTCAAAGTATCTAAATATACAATACTCATATGACCGGCTACCTAAGGCATTTAAAAGATTCTCCGATACCCAGTTCAAAATGTTTAGTAGACTTTCCCTCCATCTCCCGCCCTTCCTGCCAGTTCCACTTTCAAAATTTGGCACCGACATTCTGATGATGCTCATCGGCAAGTCTTTGACTGTCTTACATCCCCTCCTATTGTTCAACCTCTTAACAATATCAGGACAAAATGATCATTGATTTATGACCAAAGCCAGCACAAAAAGTGGTGCTTCCAAAATTATAAATAGATGATACAGATACAAGTTATTTACCCAAAAACATGGTCTGAAATGTAAAAATTAGCAACATGGACCGTCTACCGTATTTCATATACTGCCATTGTCCTGCCTCTAATCCAATGGCCAGGAGATTTTAAAGGAATGAAATAAATCATAGAAAACTGTATTGAAAAAAACTGGGTGGTGGGAATTGAAACTGGACAGAGGGCAGGAGAGAATGAACAGTAGATGACGATCTGGATCCAAAAATTAGTGATTCTCTTAATATATTTTTATATTTAGAAAATAAACAAATGATCAAGATTCATGATAAAAACAAGATACATCAAGTCATCTTGAAAAAATACCTACTATTAACTAACCTGACATAGAATTCATTTCAAAGGGAACACAATGCATATCCTACAAACAAGGGAACACCTTGGAATTTGTCATAAGATTTAAAATAACTATATATATCCTACCTCTCAACATACACATCGAGAGATTGACTAAGAATTATCAAACATCCAAATTGATCACTTATAAGCATGAGTCAGCATGCATCCGAATTCCTACTTTTTCTACCACTCACGCAAGCCCAGTCGTCCATTTTGGAAACTTGTATGCCTTCTAAGAATGGGGAATATCTTTTTATGATGTGATGAACCTGTATGAAACACAACGACAATGAACTCTTGTGCGTATATAATTGAAAACCAATTCAGCCCAACAGAACATTCTAGGTGACAATTAACAGAAGACTGCCTTTTGAAAAAAGAAAAACAATAATAAGTATTAACTAAGTTACCTGTTCAGATAATATACCAGAGAGAGCAATAATTGCTCCGGGATTTGCACAGGAGATGATTTTCTCAGCATTATCTAATAAAGGATTTAAGAGTATATTTGCAATGACCACATCATACTTATCCTTGTCAGTAACAGTTTGTATCTCAATAGTGTTTTCTCCTTTTACAACTCCAGATGTCCCGTCACCCTTGGAGGGTAAAGTATTTTCACTAGCAATGAGCTGCAGTTGCATTCTGTCTGGTCCAATGTTGTTTAGGGCAGCATTTTGATATGCTGATGCAATTGCTTCTGCATCTATATCAACTCCAACTGCTAAGGAAGCACCAAACTAATAGTACAAAAGCACGTCAAAAATGGAAATGAAGATTCAGCTATACATAATACATAATACATAATACAAACAATATTGAAAAGCTTTTAAAATATTTGATATTTCTTGAGTACATATGGAGCAGTATCAGATACATGTTGTACATCGATAATTTCCTATTTTTAAAATATTTGGGCTTCATTTACCAATGTAAGTAGCAGTCTATACAGTAGTTACCAATGACGTTCTGAAAGTACATAAAAACTGACAATATCTTAAGACTAGTTGCTTATAAATTTAGGGGCTTTTTACAGAGAAGCAGCTAAGAACATAGGTTAAGGTCAACATAAGGAGGAAAACCAGAATCCAGGACTGCACTGTCCCCCGCATATATATATATATATATATATATATATATATATATATATATATATATATATATATATATATATATATATATATATATATATATATATATATATATATATATATATATATATATATATATGTATATATATATATATATATGTATATGTATATGTATATATGTATGTATATATGTATATATATATGTATGTATATATATATATATGTATACATATGTATACATATGTATACATATGTATATATATATATATATGTATATATATGTATATATGTATATATATGTATATATATATATATATATATATATATATATATATATATATATATATATATATATATATATATATATATATATTTTAAACAGTTTGTTTCAATTTTGTTTCAATTATGTTCAACTCTATAGTATGCTGACAATCAATTGAATACCTTAAGAGCTGCAATTGCAAGAATTCCAGAGCCCGTGCCATAGTCTAAGATGTATTCTCCTCCAGTTATACAACCATGCAAGAATAATAGACAAAGTTTAGTGGTGGCATGTTCTCCTGTTCCAAAAGCATGTCCAGGATTGAGAATTATATTTGTTGCTTGAACATCCTATACAAAATTGAGAATTGGTCAGATGAAATTCATAAGCACTGGGTTAAATTTAATGCTCTCTAAGAAACAAAACAAGCATGCCAGTACCTGATAAACACGATCCAACTCTTCGGGCGACAAATACAAACTTGTTAGAATATATAAAATATCTTATAAATACTTTGATATTATCTTAGCATATCTTAAACTATTTCATATGATTAGTTCATCATCTTAAGTATCTTTAAAGATTAGTTTTCATATTACGTAAGTATTATCATGATGTGTTTCCCTATTTGATTAGGATTAGGAGTATTTGTACTTCTATAAATAGAGGTTTATGTTTAGTCCTTCGCACCAAGTTATCAGTGTACATCATATTCAAAGTCATTATTTCTTTCCTTCCTTTATCTATAATCCCATAAATTCAATATGATAGAAGGAGGAACAATTCTGATCCTCATGCCTATTTCCAAATATAAAATTGAGAAATTGATAGGTGATATGTTAAAACCAAGTACCGTAAGGCACAGTAACAATCCCTATTTTATTTATAATTCAGACAAAAGAGAATGACAGTTCGTGTTTGGGTGATTTATAGGGCCTTGAATAATGCATGATTCCCAACAAATTTCGTGTTGTGGAGAGAGAGAGAGAGCTCATTCAGTTACGTTGAGTTTGGGCTGGAGTAGCACTAGCAGCTTACAGTTTAGCCAATTTGTTTTCTTCTTCTCCTTTCTTGGCTTCTATTGCTCGGACTACTGGGCCCACAACATGGTGCCAGGATCATCATTTCTAGCATTTGCAATTGCAATATTTTCTGATTTACCTCTGTTTAATGTTACGAAAGAGAAAAGTCCTGACCAAGCCAATGATGAGCTCATAGTTCAGATTAGCTTTATCACTCAAAGACAAATTTCTAGCAACATTCAATGCTTTCAAGGGCAAAGTTTCTTATGAATTCTGTTGGTGAAACTCTCTTAATCTATGGTTCGCCAAATTTTGTATATAATGGAGGCAGGGTTCAGGAACAACAAGTTGAAGGAGTTCTTCGCGGCACAAAAATGGTGCAATTTGTCATATCACCTCAAATACCGGAACAGTACCTCACTGTTCCCAATCGCGACGCCGGAAGTGAGAACCCTAGCTACGTCGTGTGGGAAGAACAGGATGCGCTGTTGTGCACGTGGTTGCTATCCACGATTTCCAATTCGCTCCTCTCTCGTTTCGTTCTTCTTCGTCATTCATGGCATGTTTGGGAAGAAATTCATGCGTTCTGCCACAAGACTCGGTCTCGTCAACTCAAATCAGAGCTTCGCTCCTTCTCCAAAGGTACTAGAACCACCTCTGAATTGCTTGCTCGCGTTCGCACTATCGTAGATACGTTAATGTCAATTGGTGATCCGGTCCTTCATCGTGACCAAATTGAATTGATTCTTGAGGCGTTACCATCAGAATTTGACTCTGCCGTTGTTGTTGTTAACTCTAAGTCTAATTTCATCTCACTTGATGAGTTGGAATCGCTTCTCCTCACTCAAGAAGTTAGAGTGGAGAAATCCAAGAAAGAAGTTGTTGAGGCTGTTTCTGTGAACCTTACTCAAGGTAATGTGCGAAAAATTTCAATCTCAGTCCTCAAAATTCTGATATCACTGGCTCTAGTGGTGGAAATTTCCAAAGTTATGGTCGTGGTAGCTATTCTCGTGGCAGAAACAATAGAGGAGGAAGGTTCAGAGGACGTGGTGGCCGCGACGGGTATAGGAACTCTGTGCAATGTCAGATATGCTACAAATCTGGTCATGATGCTAGCTATTGCTACTATAGACACTCTCGAGACTCTTATGGTGTCCTATCCCCCCTTATGGTGCTCCTACTTCTTTTGGAAATTTTGGCTTTAGTCAACCAAATGTGTGGACTCAACCTGGATTTAGGGCTCCAAGTCCTTCAAATGTGAACCAAGCTAGACCTATGGCGCCTAGCATGGCATCTCAGTACTTTGGTGCCAGGCCTCAGGCACTGATTGCTGGCACTGATTGTTCTTCATTCTACAACCAGGCGTGGTATTCTGACTCAGGAGCTTCACATCATGTGACTCCAGATGCCACAAATTTCATTGATACTGTATCTCTGCCTAGTAATGATCAGGTTCACATTGGCAATGGCCAAAGTCTGTCCATCACTTCTCTTGGCTCTATGACTTTTCCTTTAAATTTATGCCCTAACACTTCTTTGAAACTGAATAATCTTCTTCTTGTTCCATCCATTATTAAAAATCTGCTAAGTGTGAGTCAGTTTGCCAAAGATGATGTTTTATTCTTTGAGTTCCATGCTAATGTCTGTTTTGTGAAATGTCAGGGAACTTCTAATGTGCTTTTGAGTGGTTCCCTTGGGAGTGATGGTCTATATAAGTTTGACTGCACTCCTCCTCCTGCTTCCTCTCAAGTCCTCAGTATTGTTTGCAAGTCATCTAGCTCTCAACCTCCTTCTTTGGAATCTAGCTTTGTGTTCAATTCCAGTTGTAATAATAAGAACTTAGATTTTGTTTCTAGTCTGTACAAATTGTGGCACCACAAGTTGGGTCACTCTCATCATGAGGTTCTAAAACAAGTTCTCAAACTTTGTAATATTTCAATTCCTAATAAACAGTTTTCTGACTTCTATAATGCCTGCTCCATGGGTAAGGTACATAGGTTATCATCTACCTCATCTAAAACTGTTTACTCCAACCCTTTTGAACTTGTGTTTTGTGGCTTGTGGGGGCCATCACCAGTTCCCTCCATCTCTGGCCATTCATATTTTCTCACCTATGTTGATGCTTATAGCCGTTATACCTGGATTTATCCTCTCAAACTAAAATCTGACACACTTGTCACATTTTTTCAGTTTAAAGCTCTTGTTGAACTACAATTCAATCTCAAAATCAAGTCTGTGCAAACAGATGGTGGAGGTGAATTCAAACCTTTGACACACTTTCTAACCATGCATGGCATAACACACAGAGTCACATGTCCATATACTCATCATCAAAATGGGTCTGTGGAACGTAAACACAGACATGTTGTGGAGACAGGTCTCACCCTTCTTGCTCAGGCTAACCTACCCTTAAAATTCTGGGACCATGCTTTCCTCACTGCTACCTACCTCATAAACCGGCTCCCATCTTCTTCCCTGCATAACAAATCACCCTTTTTCCTACTATATTTTCAACTTCCTGACTACAAGTTCTTAAAGGCTTTTGGCTGCTCCTGTTTTCCTCATCTCAGACCCTATAATTCTCACAAACTAGCTATGCATTCCAAGGAATGCTTATTCTTAGGCTATTCTCCATCCTACAAAGACTATAAGTGTCTTGATCCCACTGGCAGAATTTTTATATCTAAGGATGTAATATTCAATGAGCACAGGTTCCCATACACTTCCCTATTTCCCGACTCATCATCTAAATCTGTTTCTACACTCCACTACTCCTTTTTTCGGGCCTTCATCTGGACATCATATCCCCCTTACATCTGTTGGTCCTCACTTACACTTTCAGTCCCCTAACAATTCCCTTGGTTCTCCATATATCTCTCAAGAATCTAATCAGTGTGTGTGTCCATGATCCCTGCTCACTTCACTCTTAGCAGACAACCCTCTTTCAGCAGCATTAATCGTGACACTGCCTGCTTCTCCCTCCCAGTCTGCCTCTACTTCTCAAAATTATGTCCATCATGAAACAACTTCTGCTGACTCTTTGGCTGTGTCTCCTCAAGTTGGTACTGAGTCCTCCTTAGTGGTCATTGGCAACAGCACAGCCTTTTCTCCATCCACTGAACATTCCTCCCCTGCTCCATCTGTTCATTCTCTTAGCACTCATCCCATGGTTACTAGAGCTAAGGATGGTATTGTTCAACCTATGCTGCACCCCATTCTCCTTCTCACTCACTTGGAACCAACCTCACATAAACAAGCTCTATCCACTCCTGAGTGGCAAACTGCTATGAAAGTTGAGTATGAAGCATTAATTAGGAATCACACTTGGTCTTTGGTGCCTGCCTCTAATCACAGAAAACTCATTGGTTGCAAGTGGGTTTTTAGGGTCAAAGAAAATGCAGGGGACCATTAATAAATATAAAGCAAGATTGGTTGCCAAAGGTTTCCATCAGGTTGAAGGCTTTGACTATACTGAAACATTTTCACCAGTTGTGAAACCCGTTACAGTGAGGACTGTTTTAATACTTGCCATCTCTAAAAGTTGGATCATACAGCAAATTGATGTCAATAATGCTTTTTTAAATGGAGTGCTTAATGAAGAAGTGTGTATGGTGCAACCACCAGGCTTTGAAAAGGGTGAGCCTGGTCTGGTTTGCAAGCTACACAAAGCTCTATATGGGCTTAAACAGGCTCCTATGGCCTGGTTTGATAAACTCAAAGGGTCCCTTCTTCAGCTGGTTTTCACTGCCATCAGGTGTGATCCCTCCTTGTTCATGATGCTCACACCATCCCGCTACACTTTAGTGTTGGTTTATGTTGATGATGCTATCATCACTGGCTCCTCTTCTTCTTTCATCAAGCAGTTGGTTACTAAACTCAATCTGGCCTTTTCTCTCAAAGACTTGGACAAACTAGATTATTTTTGGGGCATAGAGGTGAATCATCTTCCCAATGGTTCTCTTTTGCTTTCTCAAGGCAAGTATATCAGGGATTTGCTTCATAGAGCTAACATGGCTACTGCAAAAGGGATTGCTTCCCTTATGGCTTCAAGCACCAAACTCTCCAAAGTAGGTTCTGCTCAAGTTGTTGATTCCACCTACTTCAGGTCTATGGTAGGAGCCCTCCAGTACGCTACTGTAACAAGACCTGAGATATCCTTTGCAGTCAATAAAGTTTGCCAATTTCTCTCAAACCCTCTTGAGGACCATTGGAAAGTTGTTAAGAGAATTCTCAGATACCTCACATGGTCTACTTCTCTCACTTGCTAACCTCACTATGCCTCTCACTACCACAGGCCTTTGTGATGCAGACTAGGCCTCAGATCCTGACAATAGAAGGTCCACTTCTGGAGCCTGCATCTTCCTAGGTGGGCAAAGAAGCAGACACTTGTTGCCAGATCAAGTGTTGAGGCAGAATACAGAAGTCTGGCCTTAGCTACAGCAGAGATTCTCTGGTTCAATCTCTCCTGCAGGAACTACACATCACCCATCAGACTCCCAAGATACCGTGTGACAATTTAAGTGCAGTGTCTCTAGCTCACAACCTTGTTCTGCACTCAAGAATCAAGCACATGGAACTTGACATTTTCTTTGTCAGGGAGTACGTGATTAGCAAGAACCTGATTGTTTCCCACATTCCTGCAGTAGATCAACGGACTGATGTGTTAACCAAACCACTCTCCACTAACAGATTCTTGTTTCTTAAATCAAAACTTAGAGTTGTTGACAAGCTCAAACTTGATCAACCACCCTAAGTTTGAGAGGGGAGTATTAGAGATATAAGGATTATCTAGTAATAGTCTAACAAAAGGGAATTAGATTAGTGTCTAATTCTATTTCTATCCCTTATCCTTTCTATATAAAGGATCTGCTGTAACTGAATCAGTTGAATAATAACAAATTATGTTTTGCATTCTTTCTCTCTCTCTCTCTTCTCATTCTCTTCACTCTCTCTCTTCTCTGGTTTTCTAACAGCCCCTTACACAATTGAAGAGTGAGCTTCTGTTTTCTGCGCATAAGAAGAGGGGTTCTGATGAGCCTCTTGTATCTTGTTATTTCACTTGGGTTGTTCTCTTGGACTTAGTCCATTAGACCCAAAATTGAAATTCAGACCTGCGTCATTGAATTCAGGCCAACTTCTAGGTGCTTCCCCCAATAAACTAACATTTAATGACCTTGACCCATTTGGTCTAAAATCAAACCCAAATTGTAGATTGGAACCAAATGACTGCTGATATTCCATCGATCCCCGCCGCAATGAGGCTGGTCACTGATGTGTGTTTCTGTGCAGGAACTGAAGTTCGTAAACCCGCATCAAGTGGTTTCAGCAGCTTTGGTGGCGGTGAAAAAGAGAGGTCTATAGACATATGAGCTTTGACGATGACACCGGCTCCAGATACCATGATAGAATCCCATAGGACTGAATTTTGAGAGAAAATGCAAAAACTCCAACTTTGTACTAAATCTATTTGTAAACAAGTCGTCACACATAGAGTTTATTTACAGTTATTTGGGTTTAGACTAACCCAATAGCAGTCCATAACAGCAGTGAAATAATGTAACTGAAAGCAAACAACCTAATGGTAATTACATAATAGTAAGTGGTAGTAGCAGTCTGGTATGCATACACTGTATTAGTGAGTTTTGTCATCTTGCAAAGCATGTCAGAGCCTCTTTTCTAGTCGTATTAATAGTGAATTATATATCCTTTAGGTATTTTCCATTTCGATGTTCAGCATTTGAGTTGTGTTCCTACTGTCCTTGGGCATAGGTATTTTTATGTCACTTTTATTGCTGACTTTTAAAGATGTACCATTGATAAGCCTAGACCACCCATGCCCAAGTTTTACACCCGCGGGCAGTGATGCCCAATGAGTGTAGGGTCAAGAGATGCGAATCAGGGGACGTGACCCTTGGTGAACAAACACACCCACCCGAAAGGATGCAACTCTTGGAACCAAACAGCATCAAATCTAACAGTCACAACCCTTCAGATTAATTGTGCCAATTAGGAACAAATGTTAAATGCAGTATAAATAGAAGCAAACCAGAATTAGGAAACCATTCAGGAAAATTAAGAAGAATTTGAACTGTGGAGAGACAGACTCTCGAAAACCTGTGTTGTAATATTCCAAAATTATCTATATAAATTTCAGTTTTCATCTTTTCATTTTTGTTCCATTTTTTGGTTCTTATCAATGTACCTCAGTATTTTTAATGAAATATTGTTCAGAAATTCAAACTCAAGTTGAAAATATAATTCACATCTTGAAGTGATGATACAAAAGAATATTTCTTTAATGCTTTGATTTTACTTGTGGTGTTTCGTCCTTTGACTTATCAATGGTCTTCAATCCCCTTGTAACCTTCCCTACATCAAGTTTCTAGTTTCCATGTGACTAAAAGATCTCAGTTTTCATTTAAATGTAAGTTCTAATCTTCTTGAAATTTCATCTTGAACTACGACTTTTTCCATATTATTCAAGGCGATCATATAAAGAATGTGATATAATTATAATATTATATCATAAAATAACACAAATTAAAATATAATTCTTAACTTATCTCATTGTAATCAAGAAAAAGTATGATCAGGGAAGAAAATAAGAAAATGAGTATTTTACTCTTGAAGTAACAGAACTTTAGAGTTTTGTTTTAATCTTCGACTCTAACTTTGATTATGATTCTAATTTCTATCATTGCAACATTAGAATTCAAGCATGGACTAACATACATGGTGTGCAATCCTTCACTTTCATTCCTTCTTAAGCAAAACAAACGGACCAACATAGCTAACTTAAAGTATTCAAGTTAAGAGGGCCAAAAATGTAAAACAAATTTTTATAGAAGTTGGGACAATAAAGAGAGTTCACATGTTTAATCAGCAACGATAGCAAATTATCCACGGATAAAGTTTAAGATAGTCATACAGGCGGAGTACTCCACTCGGGCACCACCCACAAGCCTTTAGTAACTTCTACGGGGTGAAATGATTCCTGTAAGCATAAATAGATGAGTTTGATAATTTATCTACAAAAACAAGTTCTAGCATGTACAATTTTCAGCAATATTAGGGAAATTAAAGATAGAAAACACCATAAACCATTCAAAAATATTAAAGATAGAAACCAGTAAACTGCTGATGTAAGATAAATAAAATGTTTAAACTAATAACAAGAGAACAGACAATGAAAATAACTAAAATGAACAAACTTAGCAAATCACATTAACCTGGGATCTCTTTATCCAGTCCTCCTCCTCAATAGCTTTAATTTCGTACCTTGGTTTCTCCTTGAAACCAATAGAATCAAACGCATGGGAAATGTTTAAATTTATATCCTCACCTTCAGGATAGATAGAAGTAATGCAAATCTGCAGAAAATAATATTCTTATAAAACTCACATAAATGAGTAATACTACTTACTTTCTACATTAAATTTAGGAGATGTTTATGATATGAATCACGGACAACCCGGACACAAAGTAAATCAAATAATCATTCACAAGTGTCCGTGTAGGTGTCGGACACAATATTTGAAATTTGAAATGAATAAATCAAATAACTTTATAAGTACCTCATCTATTGTTTGACAGCCATCATTATGATCCACGCTAACAGAAGTTGCACCAAAGCACAAAAGAGCTTCTCCAAGCATATCCTTGAGAGCACAAAGAAAAGTTAAAGTCAAAAATTTCAGCAACAATAGCAAGGGAAGAAAGAAAGAAAAGAGCAAAGTAATTACTGCATTATCTTTAGGACACTGAATCTGAACCGAATGATATGGAGTTGAAGGCTTGTGTGGTAGAGCGGTGGAAGAAGTTGCTGCGATATGAATTTTGAATTTGATTGGGATGTTATGGGAACGCCAATGGTGACTAACTTTGTGGTGGTGTTTGGAGAGAAAAGGAAGTAATGATGAGAGTGAGAGAGAAGAAGGTGATGAGCGCATTAGAGGGCGGGATATGGCCGTGGAATGGGCGCCAAGTGTGCAGGTTAACTGTTTGAAAAAATGCCAGGTCGCCATGGAAATGAGACTTTTCGGTTAATCTGCACTTTAAATGTCCCGTAGTGTATTTTTGTGTTTTTAAAATTCCTTCGATTTTAAATTCAGATTTTTTATCCCTCAAATTATATTTCTTATACAAAAATTGGTTATTTCACTTTTACACATGTAGCAGATTAGAATAAAACGATAAAACTTTTTCTTTAATAAGATGACAATTAGCCTAAGAAATTATTAATTAATATTTCTAGTATTATTTAGTAATATTATAAATAATTTTATTTAAATAAAATATCAAAATTAAATTATAATTTTATTTTTTAAAAAAATCAAAATCCAGTGAAGTTTGCAAAAATATGAATTTCTAGAATTCAAAAACTAACAAAGTATGAAAAAAGAGCCGATAACAAAACAATGAAGAACTCAAACTACTTGCAAATAACTTTTTGATTGTTTCAAATACTCAATCACCAGAACAATCATGTTATTCTACCATTAAACCACTTCAAAATATTACTTCTAACAATTTTACATTCTCAACAATTTCTCCAAAAAGCAATGAATGCATCATTCCATCAAACATACTAGGTGTGATCAGTGGATCTGGAACTGACTGTTTAACGCTGGTTCGCGAAATGTCGCGGTAAGCAAGAGTCGCCACCGTCTTTTATTTTCTCCAAATGGAAAGGACAAAAGCACAGAAAAATTCCTTAAAGAGATTGCTCTCGGTTCGAGAAGTAGATTATAGAAAGGGAAGGTGTTAGCACCCTTTCTATCCATGGTTATCCATGGGCTCTTAGATACTTGCTCACTTGTGTTTTCAAAAATAGTTTGTTTGCTTTTCAATTGTGGGTTTTAAAAAAGTTTCTTTGAAAATTTCAGTTCGACTCTTGTATCGGTCCTCAAGAGTGTTTGAAAAATTGCTTTCGAAAGCTTTTTGAAAAGGTGTCGGTGTGAAAAGTATTTTTGAATTTGTTTTGAATTTAATTAGAGCAAGTATCCACGAGTCGTCTACCTACCCTAAGGAATTCGTCTGTGTAAATGTCCTTTAAAGTAGTGTCATCCCACCATTGAGAGGTAGGTAGCACCACCGTTGGAGGTGTTCGGGTCAATTCGAGGTTCGGGACATGGTGATCACCAGAGCAATGGGAAGACACCTTAGAAGCTACCCTCATGCCAGGTTCCCGGATCATGAGGACTTACTAAAACATCCTCTACTCGACGATCACCTTTCGAGGCAAGGCAACAGTGAGGCGTACCCTAGGGGTGGTGTGTGATTTGTGTGTCGTTTTCAGATATTTTTGTCTTTTGTCATGTTATGGTGATCTATGCGTTTGTTTTTATTTTTGTCATACATTCTTTCATGCCTTGATTAACAATTAAAAATTGCGAGAAAAGTAAAATTCTAAGCTATTACAAAAGGCGCGGGTCCACATCGCCAAAATTTCTTGAACCCGATTTGACAGAAAAATAAAAGAAAGTAAAAGCAAATAAAAGAATTAAAAGTGTGGCAGATTAATTACAAGGCCTTGGGAGAGATACATAAATATAAAGAATAAAAAATAAATATGCGAATTAAACAAGAATTAAAACGAGGGTGTTGGACCCTTTTTGCAAAATTTAATTAAATGATGAAATTGATTAATTAAGAGAGAAAAGAAATTGTTTTTGTTATTTTTTGGTTTTAATGATTTTAATGGAAAAAAGAATTAACTACAATTAAACCTAATTCTACAATTTTTATTTGTTAAGAAAACATATTAAAGTTTAATCTAAAATTAACCCTAATTAATTTACATGCAATTTAATTACAAAAATAAGTATTTAATATTTAATTATTATGAAAGAAAAATAAAAAAAGACGAAAAATTAATTAAGCCCTAATTCTATATTTTTTAGATTTTTATTAAAAAGTTAAGATTTAAAGCCTAATTTAAAACTACAATTTTATTAATGAAATTTGTTTACAAAAATACTAAAACAAAATATTTATTATTATTTTTTTCTTTTCTGATTTTTTTATGTGTCTTTTATATATTATGAAAATATTTGAATTAATTAAAACAACAATTTAAAAGAAAATAAAAATTATGAAAAATAAAGAAAGTAAAGAAAATTTGCAAACCAAAGGGGGGTCTGCCCCTAAAGTGGAGGTTAGTCTTTTAGAAATCTGGCCCATTTAAATTGCCGGTCTCTTTGACTTTTCAGGACGCGTGTACACGCGTTGACTAGGGTGCATCATGTTCCTCAACTCTGCGCCCTTGGATTGATGATATTGAACGTATGGACGGCTTGATGGAGGAGTGTATGGTGCGTCCTCAGGACATAATCTGCATAGAACCATTAATTGAAAAATAATGTGAAAGGAGGTGAGGACCTGGGGCTCGAACCCAGGTCATGAACGTTACCACCCACTACGCTTGCCAACCGTTCCAAATGCATTTTCTGTATATCAAACAACAAACAAATATTATAATACAAGATAATGCGTTAATGCTGCCTGCGCGCGAAATTTCAAACGCTCCAATCATGGAAGGCCACCTAAGCGTCTTCCTCGTTGGTTTGTTTTTTCCCTGAAACAAGAACACTTTAGCAACGGTTTTCAAACGTTGCTATAGACGCTATATTAGAAAATAGCGAATAGCCCCTGGGGCTTCATAAATTGAGCGCGAGGGTAGATTCATGATCGTCTCATCGTGTTTGTTTCAGTGGTCCAAGTCTTGTGCTCCCATTTTTCCTTATTTTAAAACCCCCAATTTGAGGTCCTGCAAACCCTAAAATACGACCATGGCAATTTCTTGTATAGCGCATAAAAATCCAATCAGATCATATGGTTAGCTTTAAAACACATCACTGATCATGAATCTATAAACAAAATGCCATGAATGTGCATAGAATGTAAAATACGATTATCAGAAAAAGTGGAAAAAACTTGACTTCTGTATACCGTTTTAAGGTGTTAGGATTGATGTTTTTGATCCAGGAAGGTTGCTTGATGTCCTTGGAAGGCAATAGGATGAGTTTTGTGGCTTGAAACGACCTCCAACCCTGTTTTCAGTTTTGAGTTTTTAAGCAAAATTTTTAAGTTTGTGTCTTGGTCTCTAGCGCAGCTTAGTGGTTAGGAGGATTAGGTCTTGCTTGCAGCTTATGTATGGAGTGCATTAGGTCAAAAAACTTGATCAAAATCCTTTGCATTCATGGTTTTTGAGATTTGATTTTCAAGGATCTTTTTTTCAATATTTTTCATGCACTTTTGCTCTCAATCATATCCAATCAATTCAACTCCTTCCATATCTGATCATGCACGAATTATTGAGTATATTTCATGCACAAAAAGATTGAAAAATTTAGGTTAAATATTTTTCATGTATTTAATTGATTTAAATGAATTATTATTAATAAAAAATTCAAATAAATAAATAAAAAATGAATAGAAACTTCTCTTTGGGCCAGGTGGTCTTTCACATGCCTTGGATAATGAATTGTGGAAGAAAAAGAGGCCCATTAGCATTTTTAGGTCATTTGAATCAATGTTGACTTTTCAAAATATCCAAAAATTTCCCAACTTCCACAAGGCATAACTTGCTCAATTTTTAAGCTTTTCTCATGTTCTTGGACATTTTGGAAAGTTCTTTGAGTCCTATAACAAATGTCTTTGGTCCCATGTCATTTTGATTTACCAATCTCAAGTTATGGCCTTTGACTTAAAGTCCCTTTTTGTTGACTTTTGAAAATGACCTATAATGTTGAAATTGATAACTTTTTGTGAGAGCATTTCTTGGACTTGAAGTATGAAGATGAGTTGTAGGAAATGTCTTTCTATTCAAAATGAGCTTTGGATGGAATTTTTCTGATAATCCATGTGAAAGTTATGCCTTGGTCAATTTACAGTTGACTTTTTCAGCTGTCCAAATAAGAAAACTTTTGCATCTTGATGATTTTTGAGCCAAGCTTTGAGAATCATGATCAAGCATTGATCAAATGATGTTTGTGGCTTCAAAATGAGATGTTGACCAAAAATTTGAACTTTTGACTGCCAAATGACCATTTTGCCCCTACAGTTGACTGTAGTGTAATTAGGGTTTTGACTGTGCAATTTTGTGCTGAAGGTCTTGAAACTTGATATGGGGATGCTTGACCATGTTTATAGGCATGTGGGACTTGATTGGACCTTTGGAAACTTCATTTTCTTGATCAGAACCAAAACCCTAATTTTGACTGCTTAGGAGACCCTTGAACTGTGCAACCTTTGGGGAGATTTTGAAGCTTGACTTGGCAATTTCTTGAAGAATATGGGAGGGCAAATTTTGGGGTACAACAGTTTCCCCTGTTCAATCTTCTTAGACCTGAGGATGCAGATTGGCTGACGTGCCTTTCGTAATCCGAGGGTGGAAGATGATTGAACACTAAAGTGCCCAGAAATTTGCGCTCACATAGAAGCAGTGTGATGGAAATGGGCTTATAGATGCCATTTGGAGATTGATGGATAGGATGATGGGCTTATAGATGCCATCTGGATGTTGATCGCATAAGAGATTCCTTAGCGAGAACCTGCGTACTTGCAAAAGAAAAATGAATACCTGACATGTTGCAGGAGTTGGTCTTCAGATGTTTGGTATAGCTATGTCCTGACTGGTTACGGGAGCTGAGTCTGGAGCTTCAAAAGATGATGAATAAACCAGGGGTGGTTGCTACCTCAGCATGAACGGTGAGAGAACCTTGGATAACTTCTGCTTCAATAGCAGTCGTTGATAAAATCTTGGGATTACCACCTCCGCAGGATCGGGGAGAGAACCATAGGCAATTATAATCTCAATAGCAAACATTGTGAAAAACCTGGAATGGAATTATCGTCTACGCAACATTGGGGAGAGAACCATAGGAAATTATAATCTCAAAAGCGGACGCTTGAGAAAAACCTGGAATGGAATTATCGTCTCCGCAACATTGGGGAGAGAACCATAGGAAATTATAATCTCAAAAGCGGACGTTTGAGAAAAACCTGGAATGGAATTATCATC